TTATCCTCCGTGATAACCGACTAATATTACTGCAGTCACAGTAGCTTTGAAAATCTTCTTCGGTGGTGTCTTCATAACTGTCACAATATATTTTGTCAGACACATGCACAGACATTTTATGCGGGCAGGTGCTCAAACCACCCAACGGCCAACTTATTCGCACAATTAAGAAAAACAGGAGTCAACATATTGAACTTGGGTATTAATTTTGATACTTTTCTCATTTGGGGAAAAGGGGACTGATACTTGACCACCACTAGGTGTCAATATGTGCACATCGGATCATAATTCCTATTCATGAATCTTTTTCAAGAAAATGTGCAGAAAACAATTTTATTTTTCCTATACAAATTGTAAAAACCTTGCAGGTTGCTGCACTATTTCCGGGGCCACCACCACTTGGAGGAGATCATGTACAACGAGAACATGCGGCGCTCTCAGCTCAAGACGCTCTTGGACAAGTTCCGCAGCGTGCTGGTGGTGACCAATCACGAAGATCCCATCATTTCCATTTTCCAGTCTCCCCAAGTGTAGAGTCGTAGTCATCGTCCTAGTAGTCCTAGCGTAGCATGCGCCAGTTGGACGCTGTCAGTCACACCACGTGGCAGGGAACCGATGTGTCAAGAGAGAAAGAAAAGGTTGATTTACAAGATGGAGACAATCCATCCATCCATCATCTACCGCTTATCCGAGTCAGGTCGCGGGGGCAGCAACTTTAGCAGGGAAGCCCAGACTTCCCTCTCCCCAGAGACTTCTTCTATAGGTCTTCCCGGGGGACCCCGAGGCGTTCCCAGGCTAGCTGGGTGACATATTCTCTCCAGCGTGTCCTGGGTCGTCCTCGGAGTCTCCTCCCAGTGGGACATGCCCGGAACACCTCACCAGGGAGGCGTTCATGAGGCATCCTAATCAGATGCCCGAGCCACCTCATCTGGCTCCTCTCGATGTGGAGGAGAAGCGGCTCGACTCTGAGCCCCTCCCGGATGACCGAGCTTCTCACCAGAACCCAGGTTGTATGTGGAGGCAAGTCCGACTATATCCAGTCGGAACTTCTCTACCTCGCACACCAGCTCGGGCTCCTTCCCTGCAAGAGAGGTGACATTCCATATCCCTAGAGCTAGCTTCTGTAGCCGAGGATCGGACCGCCAGGGTCCCCTCCTTTGGCTGCCGCCCAGCTCGCACTACACCCTACCCCTTTGGCCCCTCCCATGGGTGGTGAGCCCATGAGAAGGGGGACCCACGTTATCTCTTTGGGCTGAGCCCGGACGGGCCCCATGGGTATAGGCCCGGCCACCAGGCGCTCCCCAACGAGCCCCACCTCCAGGCCTGGCTCCAGAGGGAGGCCCCGGTGACCCACGTCCGGGCAAGGGAAACTTGAATCCATTTATTTTACTCATCATACGGGATCATTTGAGCCATGCTTTGTCTGGTCCCTCACCTGTTTGCCATGGGTGACCCCGCCAGGGGCATAAAACCGCAGACAACTTAGCTCCTAGGATCATTAGGACACGCAAACCCCTCCACCACGGTAAGGTGACGGCTCACGGAGGGGAAGATGGAGACAATTTATTTTTTATTCTTTATGAGCCACTTTTGAATAATAAATTATTTTGCACATAGTAGAGAGGCCTTGAGTGTTGAGATAAGCGGGAATTGATGGGGGTGGCAGATGTATTTGGACTGCTGAGGGGGCACACGCTAAGTAATGAGCTTTGCAGACGTTCACCTCACACATCCCGGCGGTGGGAAGACTACTGAGGACTTTAGGCGTGCTGTTTTTGCGCTTTGAAGGGGAGGCGAGGGCGGTGCAAACATCTGTGGATTCCATGAAAACCAGTCGTCCCTCCTCAAATACCCGAGGAGGCGATGACCTCATCCCAAGGCATGGGTTGACTTCCATCTTGTTTTTCGTGTGTATGAAAGTGAAAATACAAGATTTGGAGTAGCTAGCCCAGATTTCACTTTTTGAGAACTGATATTGGACCGAGGAGAACCAGCAATCGCCTTTTTGTCTTCTTGAGGATAACAATTGCCCAAAATGTCTTGTGTTAAGAAAATTCGACGTAATTGATTCCTTTAGGCTTATTTGCATTACAGCCACCGCCACACTGCTATTCTACTTGGAGGCGAAGCTGGGTGAAGGTCCTGAGTCATTTTCAAACAATGGTCGGAGTCACTATCTTGTAGAGAGATCCACATCCCCACTGGGGTGACCCGTTTGCTCTCATGTAAGGTAAGCAGAGTTGCATTGATTTAGTGTTAGCTTCTAATCAACAGCATGTACTTGATTGCTATGTGAAGTTGACGACACGGTGGTCGGATAGAAATGCCAGTCGCTGAATTTCTCAGTTCCCCCCCCCCCCCTGA